TATAAAGTAGCACATTAAATTTAAAAAGGTACATTTGCTATTGGTAGATTTTATGTTCTAAGCAGAACAATTTTATTAATTTATTGATTTTATAAAGATGTGTAGTTTTTGTGTGTGTAGGTATCTGTGTGAGTACGCAATTAGTATAGTCAATAAAATAGGTACTTCGATCTTCAACTACCTATATAAAAGTTTATAAAATCTTCAATTTGTATAGTTAAAATTTGTAAATTAAATACAATATTCCTTAAAGATAGTTCATACTAAAACTGGAATTAGAAAATCTAAAAATGTACAATTACGATTACTTTTTATAAACATTTGAAATTCAAATTTTGTCAAAATTACATATTTAATGATGGGTAACGAAGTTAATTATTTAGTAGTAATTTAAAAACATAATAGGCAATATTAGTGGGGATTCAAATTTGCACGTAAATATTAAATTATGAATTTGACTAAACACATTGACATTTTCAAAATAGGTTCATAGTTTAATTTTAAGATATAATCTATTTATACTATGAACCTAGGTATTCACTGTTTACAAGGTGGTATTAACTTTAAAAACTAATAATAATATTATAATATAATATATTGATATAAATATAATAATTAAATATGAATAATATAATAAATAAAATGTTTTCGGCAAAAATTATCAACTTACGATAACACTTATAGTAAAATGAATTATTTTAATAGAGTTAACAAAAAACATCATGAAGTAAATTTAATACCGTAATTTAGACCGACATACCGTCACCATTTAAAATTGTTTTTCTAATACGATTATGATTTATCACTAAATTAAAATTTAACACATCCATCACAGTAGTTCACTCGACACCAACGTCACCAACCATACAGCAGTCTAGCAGATTAATAAGATTAGATCCATCTTTTTTTTTAAAAAAATACAAATTAATAAATCAAATCTTAAGTTTTTAGATTTTTTAATCCTTAAATTTTTCCATATTTATTTAATTAATATTTTATTTTGGATTATATAAAATAAAATAGAACTATCTGTTAGGTATTTATTTGGTAGAGACCTATTTAACGACTAAAATAAAGCCCATTTAAATCATCTGCTTTTATATTTTACTAAAATTATTCTTAACATTTAATATTTCTTGTTTTTAGATTATTTCTACATTATAATTTTTGAATGGACAAATTAAAATAGATGAATATACCAGTTAATTGTATAATTATTTCAAGAAACAGGTTCTGAAAATTTTGAAATTTAAGGAAACTCACATGATAATTATATATACAGGATCACATATATATAACAATATGCATTTATCATCGCAATATTAAAATTTAAATTAAATCCAGTGGCGGATCCAAGGGGATAAAAGGGTAAATACCCCCTCCTTAAGCTTAGGTTAGGTCATCGAGTATTACTCTATGGGTTAGGTTACCCACTACCCAAAAGAATTACCTACGATAAACCAATGATACATTTCTGGATCCGCCACTGATTAAATTAAAGACCCATGTACAGTGTATACGTTAATACTTTTACATAATAGTACACAATAGACATCGCTTATTATACTCACTTTGACTAAAAAAATTGAGTCGATTAACCGAATGAGTCAATAAGACGAAAGATCCAAGAATAAAAGATATGTTGTTAATAGATGATATACATTAAAATTAAAATATAATTTGGCTAGGTGTTTATAAATATTTATCATGATATAGGTATTTATTTTAAATTTTATACATGAATAAGTATGTTTTGTAATTCATAAAAGTGAAAAATCATAATAATTGATAACGATAAAAAATAATAAAAAACATTTAGCAGTACCTATATGACTACGTAATAAAGGTACGTGTTTGGCACACTGTTAAAAATAATAAACAAAATTATAATAGTGATGATTACAATTTTGTTTTGGTCACTTATATGCTCGCATATTTTACTATGATTATAACACAGGAATAAAATAAATTATGATTGTATCGATCGTAAGAATAATAATATATCCTGTAGGTATACGGAGTTTACCACACCAATAACACATAAGTACTTTTAATACCTATCTACAACATCCATTTCCCACATGAGTGATGTTTTATTATTTAATTTGTACTTGTAACAGTTGTAACCTATAAAAAGAAAATATTACCACAAAATAATATATTGCATTATTTGCATTATACAATCGCATATGTTCAAATTAACATATCATTATAATCGCAAAAAAAACATTTATCTAAATTAATAAAATACATTTTTCATAATTTATTTTTTATAAAATGATGACTGCGTGATGGGTCAATACCTGCAACATTGCAAATTAAGTTAATTATTATCGATTTTGTGTCACGAACGTATTTTATTAAATATTGTCTAGTGATTGAAGTATAATTAATGCAACAAAATAGATCACTACCTATATTAAATTAGATCAAAGCACATTTTAACTTTTATATACTATACTATACTATGTTATATTAATATATCATAGTCCATAGTACATTAATACTTATCTAATCGATAATTATATATATATATATTATTAATTAGTAAACCATATCATGTATTTATACAGTACCTACTATTTATGTTTGTAGTTATCGCATAAACTTATAAAAATATTAATCTCAATAATAATATTACTTTATAATAATGTCTTGTAAATTTAAATACACAGTAAGTCCATATAGGTCATAGAAATTTCTATCAAATATTATTCGAGAATCATGTACAAACGTTATATTACGTGTGCAACAACTCTATAAAAAAAAAATAAGAAAATATTCTTGATTTCTTATCGATGTGTAATAGGCAATAGCGCAATCGATTATACCCGGGGTATAAATATTTTAAATTATCATAAAAAATATAATCCAAGTAATAATAATAGGTACGCCTAAGTCAAACAATACATTTATATAATTTTAATTATTGAAGGCTTTAAAAAAATCTTATAAATTATCATAATTTTATCAATTAAATTTTAATGGTTAACTAAACTAAATACCACAATTAGTATTTAATAACTAAAAGCTGAATTTCACCAATAATATTATTTTTCCATGTTTTTAACAAATATGTATCATGACGGCTGTGATGCAATTTATTTTTCCATTAACGACGACTATCGTTGTATATTATTATTATTATGTATATATTTTGTATAGCTTTCACGATTATCTATGAATTGCACAGAACTATTTCATATAACATAGGTTTCTATATTGCATAAACGTTAAAATCATTAGCTATTAAACTTTTTTTGGAGAAAACGTCCTTAGATAAAAATGGGAACCGTATACTTTTTTTCTTTTAGGTGGAAAATTGCTGTCGATATTATATTTTAGTGGAAGTTTAATAATGACCTATGAAATTCGATGTCAGCATTAATAAAAAAGTAATTTTATTGGATTTTTATTATAATACACCATGAATAATATTTAATCCAAAATAATATTTAATTATTTTAGACATATTAGGCGCTGTCTCACGCGGTAAAGTAGGTCCGAAAATACATCTAGGTACCTCTAAATTCAAAAACGTCTAAAACCGTAGATATACGTACAATTGCCTATCTAACATAACGTCATTACTCATTACAATATAAGAAAGTTATAATTTGCATTAAAATTGTAATTGTAAATTTCCTTTTATCACCAATATTTGTTTCTATCTAATGAGATATTAACTACGTTTCCTTTAAAACAATTAATTAAAAAGTACTATAAAATTATGAAAAACACTTATTAATAATATATGTTAATAAAATAATTTTTATGGAATTTTAAAATATAATTATAAATACAATATACATAATATTACATTTTAATGTATATTACTTATTTAACTTTATTTTTGATTTATTAAGAGAATTTAACAACGTTGCATAAAATGTTATGTTATATTAGTGTTTTGTATTGAAGAAACTTTTTATTTGATTTTTCAAAATACTGTATTTTCTACAATACTATAACTCACAACTTTTTCTTATCATCATTAACTTTATTGCTTAATTATTCTTAACATATAATTTTATAAAAACTAATTTATAAACAGTTGTAATATTATATTATTTTTCAATTAAACAAAGTATTTTAAATAAGCTTACTGCAGCGATTCTCAACATTTTAACTTCCGAGTACCGCCTACACATTTAGAAAATATTCACGTACCATTTAATTTAGAAAACTCTATTTTTTTCATTTTGCTTAAAAAAATTTATAGATTATTAAAATTTATTAAACAAAAGTAAAATTAAGCATGTATAATTTGTTAAAACATAAATCGACCAAGCATTACAACATTATAGAGATTATCGTTTATCTAAATTTCTATCTTTAACGTGAGTAAAACCGACCATTTTGTTTAGTAATCAAATAAACGAAATAATATTTTATGTATATAATAATATTTTATTTTATGATAAATATTTATTTTTCATTCAAGTACCACCTTTGAGCTTTCTGCGTACCACTAGTGGTACGCGTACCATAGGTTGAGAAACCCTGACTTACTGTATTACATCTTAAAGTGGTATCGAAATGGTTTTGATGGAAACATGTTACGTGATCAATGGTATCTCATTTAGTGTAAACCATAAAGTAGGTATATTGGTGGATAAGGAAAAGGTACACTTTTGATGTTAACTTATGCCCATATAAGGCTATTAAGTAGTATGAAAAAGGTACAATACCGAACACTAACACGACAGTACAATATTAGGTACTTGACGGGCGGCGGCGTAGGTATCTCGAAACACAATATATACACAAATAAAAATGAGATTAGAATCATATGACAAAAAATGAGTGATATTTTACTGCTATCGGATCGACTGCGTGATCTGCACAATGTCATAACCATATCACTAATTTATCACGACACGCGCATCTTCTGTAAATACGAAATTCGATAGTGCGCAAAACGGTATGTCAATTATATGGTTTATATTTACGTGCGGTGCCAAGTATCGTAGGTATATAAAACCGAGAACGCGCCCAAATATAAACTTACACCGCCAAATATACTCGTCCTAGTTGCATCGCAAGAAAAAAATGTATATCGAAAGGATTTCAGTCGTTTTGATAGTGACAATAACTGTTTTGAATACGGTACGTTTGATTTTCACGATATAACACGATTTTTTGTTCACGTTGGTGTTAAGTGGGTAACGTATATATATATATATTATATAATATTGTTATTTTTCATCATAACATTTTATGTGTTACTGTGTGATCGTCGAACAAAAACGACGAGTGATCGAAATTATTGAGATATCGCATAAGCCAATAAAACTTACTTTTTTACAGGTTCACTGTACGCCCACATGGAACACTGTTACGATTGCGCCTAGACCCAAGTCGTCGATTTCGACTTTGCCCGCCTCGAGTGAACACGTGGCGCTGAGTGAAGAATTGTTGGACGTCCTAAAAAAATACCATCCATCGTTACCGGGCACGGGTTCGCAAACACCGGTAACAGGGACCACATCGATGTCGCCACCTTTGGTTTCAGATCGGATTTCGATTATGCATTTTCCAGCGGTGCCCGGTTCAATCAACGCAGATCAATCGTCTCAATTGTCGTCCAATCCTGTCGCCACTCCAAATCCAATAGTCCCGGATCTGCTACACCAGCGACCTACAGACCTACAGATGTCCGAACGTGGTTACAACCAAATGGTCGAACCTCCGTTATCGCACGCGCTTCTGCAATCGAAAGGACCCGCCGGAAACCCGCTTCCGGTTTCCATATTACCGACGATCTCAGATTCACAATCATCACCCACCCTTGTGCCACCAGCATCGTCTCATTCTCCTGACCCAGCCCTGCTGAAAGAACCCATCAGTGTCAGTTTGCCATCCAAGTTTAATCAAGAGCTGACAAACCTATTGACCGATTTACGGATGACCCCCGTTACACTTCAAGAACCGGGTAAAAATCAAATCCTTGCACCCGGTCAGACTACTCATTCTACGGAAACTCTTCAACTCCTCTCTTCCGGATCATCTACCTCGTTGCAGCCCTCTAAAATCCCGCGACCTATTCTCGGGCTGAATCAAACACCGTTAGACTATTTATTAAGTTCGTCATCCCCGATGCAACAATTCAATTATACAAATCGTCAACCGTCACCAACCGTTAAACCACGTCCAAACTTAGAGTTTGTAAAATATTTGCTGACTCTACCTCGATATCAACAAGCTTTAAACGAATTAATTGCAGCTCAATCTTCAATTCAAACGTAAAATAAACGAATGTGTTAAACATAAATAATTATTATGTACAATAATTATAATATTATTTAATCATTGTAAATTATCTTATTTATTTATTTAATAGTTAATAGTCCAACTCTATGCAGGCTATCTTTGAACCTACGTATTTTTTTTCTATATTTAGCTACTTTATAATATGCTATATATCGCATAGCTTATTATATCATCAAATGATGTAAATTTTACTTTATATTACGTTTGGTGTAAAATATGTGAGATGTAATACGATAAATATAATGATAGATAATAATACGACCTAGTTTTTTTATACACAAATGTTATTTACTGGAATAGTGAACCAGTGAAATACAACCTGGGTACAATTTGTACCTACATCTATAAACGGTAAATTGAAAATAACAAATAAATACCTAATTGAAAACGCACGTCCATACAATGAGCAGCATTAGAAAAAATATTTTTAAAAACAACTTACCCGAGAATATTATTTATCTTCATTAAGGTAAATAAATATTAAACAATATTCAAAATTATATATAAACAGCATATTATATATTTTATAACATACCACATTAAATTTAATTTTATAAATTAAACAAAAATTGCAGAAAATAAGAACTTTTTTTATTATTACAACATCAATTATTTAAATTTATGTTGAGTTTTTATAATTAATGTTATTTATTTGATAATCCTAAAGTAAATATTATTATTATTATTATTTTTTTTTGTTTTGTCGTTGAAATCAGAAAAAACAAAATAAATATTGTGAATTAAACAAATGATAAAAAATCTGTATATATTAAATATTTCAATATTTACAGTATATATATTATAATATACACAAAATATAAAACTTAATAACTCTACAACTATAAATAATATGATTATATCAAAAACATTGCCAAAAAATTAGGTCTCGACAATGATTTATTAATTATCTATCCAAAACACTGTATTATCCGTTGTATTAGATATATTATCATGAGCATTTTTAGATATTACATTATTGCGTTAATAAAAAAAAAATAATTGTGATATTATAATACGCCGGAAAATCTTTACCTAGCGGTGCAAACGATGAGGGGATAGGGGAAACGAAGTACCTTTATATATCATAATAAATAATCGATAAACCTTGTACGCTTATTTCGTTTTAGTTAATTAAATCAATAATCGTTATCGGTAATATTGATAAAATACATTTTATAAGTATCGTTATCCTTTGGTTATATGCAAATGCCGTACTTACTTTTTAAATTAATATTGGTTTTATAATAGTTGGACAAAATATACAAAAATAAAGAACAGCCTACCAGGCTGATCATAAATAAAAAAAATACATTAGCTATACTTTTCTTTCACAGCTAATGGGAACTATAGGTAATTATTTATATTTATATGGATAATTTATTATCAATATTTATAAATGTTCATTGGTACGACGTACCCAGAAGAAGAAAAGTATTTGGAATTATATACATTTCCATTGTAATTTTTTTTTTTGTTTAGGTGACCTAACACTCAATACAAAATCAAAATTTTACGGATTGGCAACAACACTACGTAATTCCAGTTTCAAACCTATTCAGTAAAAGTTAAGATTTTTTTGTTTTACGGAATAAAAGCATAAACATTCAAAATTAGTTATGAATTTGGCACGAAGTTTCTTCCCTCGATAAATTAAAATGAACGTCGATCATATATTTCCAGCTCTGACCTAAAAATAATTAATGCTTTCAAAATTTTTGCAAAAATGCTATTAATATATTCATATAATTTTAATCTTTAGCACTTTGTGCTGCAGGTACTCAGATCCCTTTTTTGTGCAGGAATATGATGCGAGGAAAAAAAATTTGCGTCCTCGTCCACTCTAAAGAAAATTTTTACAGCGCAATGTTGATAATATAAAGTCATAATGCATAACCTACTGTTGTTTAAGTATCAAATAAAACTTACAATTTGTTAAAAATTAATGATTTTTTTTATACAATTAAAAATGTCTTATTGACCGAATTTCAAATCGACGTTCTACGACCTGCAGCACTGGGCTTTTGAACCAGGTAACGGCGCGTGTACAATTTTATTATTATACCTAATTTCTTCAACACATGATAGGTATCTATTTTCATTTTTCAAGACCATTTTTATTCAAAACGAAATTTCAAACACACCAACTGGCGTTTACAATTTAATTGTTCGCGGAAAAAACGAATTCTCCGGAGTCAAACTTCCCGCGTGACGTCTGCGATGGCTCCTGCGCCTGCTACAGGCTGATCAAGCGAAGCGGCCATACGGTTCCGCGTATCCGCGTCGTAGACGCTGTCCACGGTCAGCGTATAAGTCGGCGATCCTAACCGCGTCTGTCCGACCACCGTGGCGTCGGTGTTCAGCGGCAGCGGATCGTTGACGTAACCGTGTCCGATGCCGTCCACGCAGAACACCGGAAACGGCACGGTCGCCGCGAACCGCCGGAACACCAATGCGATCAGGCGTTCGTCCGACGTGTCGCTGAACGAACCGAACACGACGGCCACGGCACCTCGGAACACGCCGGCGAGCTTCATGTGGTCGAGGCTTCGTTCCAACGAGTACGGTTGGACGTGAACGTCCTCCAAAAACACGATCTTGCCGTCGCCCCGGAAGTCGAACGCCGTGCCCAGCGTGTTCTCGACCAGCGTCATGTTGCCGCCCGCCACCCTGCCCCGAAGCGACAGCTCGTCCGGCCGCCGGTCGACGGCCACCACCGGCCGCAGCTCGTATCGGACGCCGTCCGATCGGCCGGTCACCAAGGCCACCAGCGCGTCCACCGACTGTTGAGCCACCACGCGGTCGGCGATCATCTCCAACATGGTACCGTGCACCGTCCGCCACCCGTACACCCTCTGCAGGTACACGTGCAGCGCGGTCGCGTCGCTGTAGCCGACCAGCGTTTTCCGGGCGTCCCGGATCTTCTGCTTCCGGTCCGCCGGCAACGCCTCCAAGTACGGTATCAGCCGGGACGCGCCCTCGCCGCCGCGCGCGCACCACACCACCGTGCTCACGTCGTCCGTCAGCGCGTCCACCAGGTCGTCCGCGCGGTGTTGGTCGGTGTTCGCGTAGAACGGGTCGGCGCCGGGCCGGTACATCGAGTGGTCGACGTGCGCCGACATGCCCGCGTCCCACAAGAATCTGCTGAACGCCTCCAGGTTCGACGGTTTGCCCATGGACGACGGCGCGATCACGCGCACCCGCACGGCTGTCGTCCCGCGGCCGTCCCCGCCGACATCGACTGCTGCAATGCTCATATTCCACGTTATTACACTTAATAATATCGTCTGCAGCACCGGTGAAATAATACGATTTAGGGTCGATTTCACCAACACTGTTAATCAGAGTTTTCGGATTTCACCAAACACGGTTAAACGTAACCGCTGCGTAGTCACGAATAACAACTAACCGACCAATTTTGGCCGATTAGCGTTATTAATCACGGTTAGAAGTTAGAAGTTATCAGTTGTTTGTTATTATTTTGTTTTTTTTTTCTAATGTTTTTGATAAGCACAAAAAAATCGTTTTATTTTTTTAATTGAAATAAAACTCGGAGATCGAAATAATCAGATGTGTTGTAGTGCCTGCAGTTATAATTTCATATTCAATGCATCGTGTCAGGCAGCGAATTATGAATATTATTGCTTTTGAAGATGACGATGACGAAAGTGACGAAAACGAGTTCGTCTAACGATATTCTTCGCAATCCGTCGTTCTAGATGGATTCGAGAGAGGGACGAAATTGAAAAATAATGTCACTGTTATTACATTATCGTAGGTCACAACTATTTGACTCCTCTAATCACGGTTAGTAGGATTATTCACAGTTACCATAATACGCATATTGCGCCGCCGGCAAGGCAGAACTGTGGCGGCACGCCCGAGACGAGCACGGCGCCCATCCAGACCTGTCGTGCCACGTGCCTGGCTGCGGGAGGCGTTTCTTCGCGGCGGCCATGAGCGCCGACCACCGAGCCCACCACGGGACGCGGCCGATCGACGTCCCGCGGACCAGGGTGGCAGCCGCCGTTGACGTGCGAACTGTGCGGCCGACTGTAGTCAGCCCGTCCACCTATGACAAGCACGTGAACGCGGCGCACCCCGCCCGGGCCGCCACTTGCGGCGTGTGTCACTCGTACAAGGGCGACGTGCGGTCGCTCGTCGACCACGTGCGGCGCTGGCACGCCTCCGAGATCGCGACTACTGCTGCAGCCGGGTCGGCGACCCGCAGATACGACCGAAGCGAGACGGCAGGAGTATACGGTGCACCGTGTGCGGCAAGCGATACGGCAACAACCGCAACATGCGCGCTCACAGTTGGTGCACGGCCTCGTCGACGACTTTGTCCCGGCGCAACCACCGCTGCGTGCAGTGACATCCGGTGCGCCCGCGGGCGCGCGCTGTGCATCACGGCCGCAGCATTCGTCGTTCGTCGCCGCATCCAGTGACACCCGGTGCGCCGCGCCGCGCTGTGCATCACTTCGGCCGCAGCATTCGTCGTTCGTCGCCGCATCCAGTGACACCCGGTGCGCCCGCTGTGCATCATTTCGGTCGCAGCATTCGTCGTTCGTCGCCGTATGCAGTGACACCCGGTGCGCCCGCGGCCGCGCGCGCTGTGCATCACTTCGGCCGCAGCATTCGTCATTCGCCGCCGCATCCAGAGACACCCGGTGCGCCCGCGGCGCGCGCTGCGTCACTTCGCCGCAGCATTCGTCGTTCGCCTCCGCAGAAGGTGCACTGCCCGGTCGACGCATAACGTTATAATAATAATATTATGTTACTTCGGATGTTCCATGCATAAATCACCAATTTCAGCCCTTATAACGTACAGTACGTCAGTACCGTCTACGCGCCCGTTGCCGTACCGTAATTTTTCTGTACGTCTGTATGTTTCTGGGTTTACAATGTTTATATTATAATATACTTTATATTTTGTCTATGCGTGTGTATACTTTTATTATAAGTCCATATTGCATGACACTCGTTGTTTGATTACGTTTTGCGCAAGCGTTGTTATACTTGTACATGTAGATATATATCGTTTTGGACTAATTAAGTAGTGCGTGTATTACACATACGTCATGTAGTTACGATTGCATCGATCCTATGACAGACACGGATTCACAATTATTTTCGTCTCTTGCGACGAGATGTAATAATAGAAGAATGATCGCATACAGAATTTATAGAATTAGTTTAGACGAGAGGCATGACTGACTAAACGCTTCTCTGTTCATTTATCCTGTTAAAATCGTAACATTATATATGCATTATTCTACTTAAATGTTTATTAAGTTTTGTTGATAAGTCGATTAATTGTAAACATAAATTGTTTTTATTTTAGGTTGTTTGACCTCGCATTGTGATAACAGTAATAATGTACCTATCTTAAACAATGCGCACTATTATTACATCACTAGGTATATAGTACTGAACAGTAGTAGTTCTTAGGGTATAATAGTATTAGTACAACTGACTAAAACTTATACATGTGTTTGACCCGCCGTCGATAAGCGATTGTCAACAAAATCTTTTACAAAAGCGGTTTCCTATGGGCTATGATAATGGTTCATCTGTAATCTGTATGACTGTATGAGTATATTGTGTTGTATAGTGTATACTCGTACATATATTTTCACTATATATATATATATATATATATATAGTTTTGACACATCGAAAATGATAGCTAAACGTTGAATAATACGATTCGGTTGCAATGTATAAATATGAACAGTCGGGCTTTTCTCATGTTAATTTACATAATACCTATCATTATATTATGATCCATCGTATTTTTTTTTCTGAATATATAAACTCGTGAATTATTTTCTACGTAATAGCGA